TGTGATGCTATTCATACAGGTAGTGGTGATTGTGGTGTACAGGTAGTGGTGATTGTGATGCTATTCATACAGGTAGTGGTGATTGTGATGCTATTCATACAGATAGTGGTGATTGTGATGTACAGGTAGTGGTGATTGTGATGCTATTCATACAGGTAGTGCTGATTGTGATGCTATTCATACAGGTAGTGGTGATTGTGGTGTACAGGTAGTGGTGATTGTGATGCTATTCATACAGGTAGTGGTGATTGTGATGCTATTCATACAGGTAGTGGTGATTGTGATGCTATTCATACAGGTAGTGGTTATTGTGATGTACAGGTAGTGGTGATTGTGATGCTATTCATACAGGTAGTGCTGATTGTGATGCTATTCATACAGGTAGTGGTGATTGTGATGCTATTCATACAGGTAGTGGTTATGTGATGCTACTCATACAGGTAGTGGTTATTGTGATGTACAGGTAGTGGTGATTGTGATGCTATTCATACAGGTAGTGCTGATTGTGATGCTATTCATACAGGTAGTGGTGATTGTGATGCTATTCATACAGGTAGTGGTGATTGTGATGCTATTCATACAGGTAGTGGTAATTGCTCATACAGGTAGTGGTGATTGTGATGCTATTCATACAGGTAGAGGTAATTGCTCATACAGGTAGTGGTGATTGTGATGCTATTCATACAGGTAGTGGTTGATGTAATGCTACTCAAAATGAAGCTCTTTCCATATTTGAGCAGGAACTTCATTTTGAAATAAAGGCAAATGGTAATAATTTCAATTCAATACCAAAAGAAATAATGAAAACCTCTATATAAAACAAAGAAAAAGAATTAGAAATGCTATTTATCATTCAATGAACTGGTAAAGAATATCCACTTGTTATTCTGACTCTACTAACCAGGATATATAAAATGTCACCAACATCTGATATTTAGTAAATGCACAAAATAAAGACTAAAAGTATCTTTTTTCAGAAAACGGGGAGAGAAACCAGTGCCTTGGTTCTTCACTGTGGTGTATCAGAATGGAGTCACATATTCATACTTGCACCTAATGTCCCACACTTCAAATAAAGCCAGAAGCCTACAGATTCAGTTTCAAATGATACACAATAAGTTCAGTAACAAGGTACAGCAACAATACCTATCTTCACTATATTTCTTATTCACGGACCACTTCGAAACTGACTTTCTGATATATCAACATTTTTCCATTTGGCCACACTCAAGACAGAACTTGATGCTTTCAAAGTAATTACTGAGGTTAGTGATACAGTAGTCAATTTCTTAGACACTACCATCTTCATAGAAATGGTTACTCAATAAATGACATCAAGTTTACCAGAATAACAACATTAATTGATGATGTCAACGATTGGTTAAGAACAGAACTGTTTGTACCCACAAGAAGATACCTTATTAAACAACAAAATTATTGCGATTGCCCTGACAAAGTCCTCCCTCTAGCATAACCAGTTGTTACATCCATAGTTTAGATGTAAATAAAGCACCGTGAACACAGTATGTCAGGTTGTGTTGTGATTGCACGTCCTCGTTCAAGTATCTATAGTGAATCACTATACATGTGTAGTAAAATAACTCAAGCTTGATTCACTACCAGTAGGATTGTTTTTTAATCAAAACAGTTTACAATTTGGGTAGAGTTACATTATGTAAAAATTAGTATCACAGGACTGTATTTAAGTGTGGAGGACATATCTCTTGGGGGAGTATTACGTTCAAACAAATCCTTGGTGGTTGTCAAATCTTAAAAGTCAGCAAAAATTTGTCTAAAATTAAAGGAACTCAGTCTTGTTTGTCACAAGTATTTTAATGGTAAGTGAGTCAGTGATGTTGAATTTCTATCAGAGGTTTGGTAAGTTTACAGTGAGTAGTAAACAGCAGTTATTAACAACAGATAGCACAATTAGAAATAATTATCTTCTGGTGTCACTACTTAACATGACTCTTTAAATTGGATCCTTCTAGCCTGCTATAGTCTGTGTCACAGTATTGATGACATCCCACGAAGACATGTTTCAGTTATTGCATTCTAGCAACTAATACAAATGTAGTGTCTAGCTGTTTAATGCTATGAACATTCTTTGTTGTTTATATCTAAGACAGCAAATACTTTCTTGGCATTCGTTATTATACAATATTTTAATAGCACAGGAGTTTTTTTCACCCCCAAACAGGATCAGCAAAAATAAAGATAACGGCTCACTGAATCAACTATGAATATCTACCATTTGTGTTACACTATATATAAGAAATCAACAGTATTCTAAGATCAACTATTCTAATTTTGTACAATACAGATTAGCCAAAAATTTCAACCATCACACTAACAAAACGTTGAATCATGAATATCGTTAAAAGATTTGAAATGTCAAACATACTGGCTTTATTGCAGTTTTAATGACAGAATAACAAATTAAGTAATATGAATTCTAGTGTAATGTAAATGAATTAAGATAGGACACATATAAAATAGTATATATGTTTTTAAATGGGAGATCTTCCTTTCAAAGTCAACCATTAATTACAATACATATTTAAAGCTACGTGCATTTAATTTTGAGCTGTCTTTAATTCAAAATTGAATGATATCCCAAGATATGCAAGCATTATTTTGATAACATATCAAGCACATGTGGACTTTACCATTTTTCCAGTGTTGAAGCAAAATTGCATTGATGAAATTTTCAGTCACACAGCTTGGCCTCATTTATGAAATCATTTTATCTTTGTCAGTATTTTCATTAACTGTTGCATAAACATAAATGGATATCAAATGCTGACTAAATATTTGCTCATTCTTTTTCGAATTGTTGAAATATGTACCATTTTTCCATTTCTACAAATAATGACACAAAATTATCATATCTGGCCAAATTTGATGGTTGATAGTTTTTGTAAATGATGTATCATTGGTAACTCTTGAATCTTAGATAAAATATTAGGTTTTAAGAAGAGAAATATAAACTCATACTGTTACTAAGATTAAGTACAAATATTTTCTACATGAAAGAAAAAGAAACAGAAAACATACCAAAAGCCAATATCGTCAAATTAAAATGACTTTTTCATGATTTTCATAGCAAAATGCTTTTTCAATGCATTGTCTCTAATAGAATATTTTGGCTAATCTGTTCTGTATTTTAGTTGGTGTTGCAATACTGTTAATTTCATTCATCATTGTTTAACACAAAGGGAAGACGTTATACTTCAAAAATAATTAAATTTGAATTGTCTTGATCTTGTAAATGATCAAAAACATATTTACCTGAAATTTTGTAATTGGTGACTTTTTGCCTGTTATGATACTGAAGGCCACCATTCCATAAGTCAAAAGATGAATTCTGTTAACTAATTTGAGGCTAGGGCTACATTTTCAGTAACATGACTGGACTGTACTGGTATTCTTCCAACATGAAAATTGTGAAACATAACGCTAACAAGCCTCTGGCAGGTTATATATATAGAGACAAAACAGCTGTACAAATAACCGTTAATGGTGAAGGACTTTACCATGTAGGACAGCGCAAACTACAATCAGATCAATAAAAAATGATGTATGCCTACGACACATGCAATCTGAATTTACAAATGTCAAAACAGGCTAATTGTTTCCATAAATATACTAAACATTAATTATAATGGGACAATGAGAACTTGGTGTCCCCAATCAACAGATTCTGTACGAGTGATCAATCACTGCAGTCACAGAAAGGCTTCAGGCATGCTATTCTGATTCAGCCCGAAATAACTTTTATAACAAACAATTTCTATTTCAACCTTTTCTACGCTGTAACAACAAAATTGGATTTTAAAACCTAAGAGATGGAATAAAGCACCATAAAACAGACTATGAATACAGGTCAATTACTCTTCTTGACAGAGGGACTTCGATCCTCCAATAGAAACATGCTAAATCACTTCCATAGTCCCTTTTTATACATTTCTACCCACTGTAACGGTCATGTGTTTGTGATGATGTATAGTCTATGTAATGGCATTAGGCAAGACCAGATCCAGGTATTGAAAATTCCTGTGAATTTCCCTCGTGATCTTGAAACTGGGATTTAATAGATTTCTTTGCCAGCATGCAAGGGACCAAATATCAAGCTTTAGGTTAAATGGTTCTGTGGATGTTTTTTAACAGAAGCAAAGCCATTACATAAATGAACCCTGACATTTCAATGTCACTGGTAAAGCTTTATCTAACACTAGGTACACCTGACTTATTGCTTGTCTGTTGATCTGATGACAAGAGAGGAGAAGGAAAACCTATAACTAATGTATGAGAGGGACCTCATTCCTCTCTATGGGTTGGCTGAGGTACACTACATCCTTCTTACATAATGACAGAAAGTGTGAAGAGCTAACTGCTGTACTTCTAGTGAAGCTAAGAGTAGGTTCCGTTGTCCCTTGCTTGGATACCTCCAGGTAATCTGGGCGATTGAAGAGTAGTAAGGACCTAAAGGGTAAGAGATAATTGCAACAAGCTCAGGATTCTGAAATTGTTATCTTATTTTTCGTCTACCGGTTTCGCCTGTAACATATCCTTCAGGTCCTGAAGAAGCCCATATGTTATGGGCGAAACCGGTAGATGAAGAATAATTAATAACAATTTCAGAATCCTGAGCTTGATGCCATTGCCTCTTACCCCTTAGCTTCTTACATGATTTCACATCTGTTGCACTGTAATTTACAAATGTCCAGAATGGTGGGAGATTGGAATGTTAATACCTACCCCTGGAATATCATGTTACCTACCTTTTCACCCCTACCCCTGGAATATCGTTACCTACCTTTTCCCCCCTACCCCTGGAATATTGTTACCTACCTTTTCCCCCCTACCCCTTGGGTATCATGTTACCTACCTTTTCCCCCCTACCCCTGGAATATTGTTACCTACCTTTTCCCCCCTACCCCTTGGTTATCATGTTACGTACCTTTTTCCCCCTACCCCTTGGGTATCATGTTACCTACCTTTTTCCCCTGTCCCTGTGGTATCTTGTTGATGAGCTCTATCAGGACATTGATAGTTGGGTGGTTACATTTGTGTTTCAAGTCATCCACCAATTCAGCATCATACTTTTTCTTGTATGCTCTCTTAATTGTGGGCATGTCAATCTGAAACAGAACATCCATGTTAACACCTAGTCTTAATGGCAGGCAAGTCAATCTGAAAATGATCATCCATGTTAAGACCTAGTCTTAATTGTGGGCATGTCAATCTGAAACAGAACATCCATGTTAACACCTAGTCTTAATGGCAGGCAAGTCAATCTGAAACAGAACATCCATGTTAAGACCTAGTCTTAATTGCAGGCATGTCAATCTGAAACAGAACATCCATGTTAAGACCTAGTCTTAATTGTGGGCATGTCAATTTGAAACAGATCACCCATGTTAACACCTAGTCTTAATGGCAGGCATGTCAATTTGAAACAGATCATCCATGTTTACCATTAGTCTTTAAATCAGTTAGATGAATTATTCTGAAGGGTGCATCAATGTGACTAATGAATAAAATTGCTGCCCATTACTATAACTCCTGAAACAAAGTCTACATTATAAGGAGTAAAAGTATAGCAGTTAAGTAATTTACCTGATGGCCTGACCTTGACATGAATAAGTCTTTTCATGACATAGGATCTAAGTATTTTTTGACATGAAACAAATGCTCTAGATGACAGTATATAAGGGGCTTATAACATCTGAGCCTCCATCAGATTTCATTATTTCTGTATCCCGACCAAGACCAATGTGACCTAATTTTTTTCACTTCAACATACATATCTTGATCTGTCGGCTAGTACATAATACAGAGCATAATTCACAAAAGGTGAACAAATCTGATAACTGTCTTAAAATTCTCACAACAGAATATCAGCATCCATATTTGTGGAAAATGACATTTACAATTATCATAACTCTGAAACATTGATTTTTTTATTGAAGGAATTAAAATAAACACATTAACTCATTATAGATTGTCAGAGCACATTGGCAAGGAAGAATTCTACAGTCAGGATCACTGCAAAAAGCATTGATCTAAAACTGTTAAGCTTGTATTGATTTTTTACAAAGCACCAACTCTGAAGTGTATCATTTGTGAATAATATTGGCACAATTGTAACAAATACTCAGCATCAAATCTTCTGTAACACATTCTGTAACACTGCAACAACTGGTGCTTCACGTATACCAATGTACAGGAATATGTCATCATGGGTTAGCAATACTCTACAGCAATTCTGGTATAGCTAAGTTTGGTGGACAGAAAGATCAAGTTCATACAATCACATTTAAGATAAAATTTCATTCCAAATCAAAACTTATGGATTTATCCTGCATTAAATTGGTGACAACATGCTTTCTATAATAATTGTGAACCTGACATGCATTGTAACATTATTGTATAAAATTATACCTCTAACACATAATCAGTTAACCAACACCAGTCACCGCTGCCGATCTCCAAAGCAGGATATTCAATACTTCTCCCACACACCAATACAAGTCAGTTTACTGATTGATATTCAACACAAGAAAATCATTCATTTTCCTTTTGTTTCAGAAATCCCTTAGCAAATCTGGATGTAAAATTTAAAACTAAGCATACAACATTCTCCTGACAAATGTGATAGAAGCATGCAATAATGTAATTACAAGAACTTGTTCTGAGATCGACATGTACAGCAATCACTTACAGTCTGTGAGCACAATGATATGAAATTACAGCAAAAGAGGCCGAGGGCAACATGTACAGACTTACTGAACCATTCTATAGCATGACCATGTGAAAGTGACAAGTACAGTAGTTAGGGAATCTGTCCACAGAATGACCATCCACTAGTGGCTAGTGACATTTACAGCATTTGGTCAGGGAGTCTGTCTACAGAATGACCACCTGAGGGTAACATGTACAGCACTTGGTCAGGGAGTCTGTTTACAGAATGACCACCTGAGGGTGACATGTACAGCACTTGGTCAGGGAGTCTGTTTACAGAATGACCACCTGAGGGTGACATGTACAGCACTTAGTCAGGGAGTCTGTCTACAGAATGACCACCTGAGGGTGACATGTACAGCACTTGGTCAGGGATTCTGTCTATAGAATGACCACCTGTCTACAGTATGACTGTTTGTTGTCAAGAACCCACATTAAGCATTGTCAAAAAGCAGCACTTTTCTGTCATCAAAAAACATCAAGAATACTGCAGTTCTAAGATGACAAGAAACAAGTACATATTGTAAGTTGTACCCAGTAATCAGGGATCTACAGTACTCAGTTGTCAGGTAATCTGTACTCAAAATTAAGGGAACAACAGTACTCAGTAATAAGGGATCTCCAGTACTCATCATCAGTCATCAGGTAAGTTGTATCCAGTAATCAGGGATCTACAGTACTCAGTTGTCAGGTAAGTTGTACCCAGTAATCAGGGATCTACAGTACTCAGTTGTCAGGTAAGTTGTACCCAGTAATCAGGGATCTACAGTACTCAGTTGTCAGGTAAGTTGTACCCAGTAATCAGGGATCTACAGTACTCAGTTGTCAGGTAAGTTGTATCCAGTAATAAGGGATCTACAGTACTCAGTTGTCAGGTAAGTTGTATCCAGTAATAAGGGATCTACAGTACTCAGTTGTCAGGTAAGTTGTACCCAGTAATCAGGGATCTACAGTACTCAGTTGTCAGGTAATCTGTACTCAAAATTAAGGGAACAACAGTACTCAGTAATAAGGGATCTCCAGTACTCATCATCAGTCATCAGGTAAGTTGTATCCAGTAATCAGGGATCTACAGTACTCAGTTGTCAGGTAAGTTGTACCCAGTAATCAGGGATCTACAGTACTCAGTTGTCAGGTAAGTTGTACCCAGTAATCAGGGATCTACAGTACTCAGTTGTCAGGTAAGTTGTACCCAGTAATCAGGGTACAGTACTCAGTTGTACCCAGTAATCAGGGATCTACAGTACTCAGTTGTCAGGTAAGTTGTACCCAGTAATCAGGGATCTACAGTACTCAGTTGTCAGGTAAGTTGTACCCAGTAATCAGGGATCTACAGTACTCAGTTGTCAGGTAAGTTGTACCCAGTAATCAGGGATCTACAGTACTCAGTTGTCAGGTAAGTTGTACCCAGTAATCAGGGATCTACAGTACTCAGTTGTCAGGTAAGTTGTATCCAGTAATCAGGGATCTACAGTACTCAGTTGTCAGGTAAGTTGTACCCAGTAATCAGGGATCTACAGTACTCAGTTGTCAGGTAAGTTGTATCCAGTAATAAGGGATCTCCAGTACTCATCATCAGTCATCAGGTAAGTTGTATCCAGTAATCAGGGATCTACAGTACTCAGTTGTCAGGTAAGTTGTACCCAGTAATCAGGGATCTACAGTACTCAGTTGTCAGGTAAGTTGTACCCAGTAATCAGGGATCTCCAGTACTCATCATCAGTCATCAGGTAAGTTGTATCCAGTAATAAGGGATCTACAGTACTCAGTTGTCAGGTAAGTTGTACCCAGTAATCAGGGATCTACAGTACTCAGTTGTCAGGTAAGTTGTACCCAGTAATCAGGGATCTACAGTACTCAGTTGTCAGGTAAGTTGTATCCAGTAATAAGGGATCTACAGTACTCAGTTGTCAGGTAATCTGTACTCAATAATAAGTGATTAACAGTACTCAGTAATAAGGAATCTATAGTGACACATTATAATGAAAACAACATCATTTGGTTGTTAGAGATCCAGGTAACCAATTGACACATGCAGTGATGGAAATCAAGCCTCCGGTGGAAAGGAACATGCATTCAATTTAAGTTAGTAGGTAAAAGACAATTATTAATTCCATTTGACAAGCGATCAAGGTACAAAATACCGGTAACCCAGGAAACCAACACACAGAAAATTTCATCAATATTCAAAAAAAAAAAAAAAAAATGAAATAAATCCATGCAAAATTCACAAAAATTCTTGATGAAATTAATATACTTACTTTCCTATCACAGAGTTTTGTTTCCTTTTAAATGAAATAAAATAGATGATTTGGGGAAAAACTGATGACCTCATCCAATCATGTTTAAATATTGTATTTCAAACATTAAATAGTTATCAAGAATGTGAAACCAAAGGTCCATTCCAGAAGGCATATGAGTTTTAATGATAAAAAGAGAAAAAACTAGTTATTATGAATTGGAGCTAAGCAAACATGCAGAGCATTTTTTCATAGTTGAATACCTAAGTGTAGTAAACGAAATACCATGAAAAGTCTATTAAAGGTCAGGAGATTTTTTTTTAAGTTGTGGGCTTTAAAAAATATATTTTCAAAGCATTCATCTTGTTAATGGTGGTAAGGAGATTCTACAGAATTGCATGTCAGATGTCTGACACTTGACCACTGGCAGATAAAACAGACATTTCTCTGTTTGATGTACCAATAATCTGACATACACTGTCATTTCTCCGTTTGATATACTGACATACACTGTCATTTCTCCGTTTGATATACTGATAATGTGACATACACTGTCATTTCTCTGTTTGATGTACTGATAATGTGACATACACTGTCATTTCTCCGTTTGACATACTGATAATCTGACATACACTGTCATTTCTCCGTTTGATATACTGACATACACTGTCATTTCTCCGTTTGATATACTGATAATGTGACATACACTGTCATTTCTCTGTTTGATGTACTGATAATGTGACATACACTGTCATTTCTCCGTTTGACATACTGATAATCTGACATACACTGTCATTTCTCCGTTTGATGTACTGATAATCTGACATACACTGTCATTTCTCCGTTTGACATACTGATAATCTGACATACACTGTCATTTCTCTGTTTGATATACTGACATACACTGTCATTTCTCTGTTTGATATACTGATAATGTGACATACACTGTCATTTCTCTGTTTGATATACTGACATACACTGTCATTTCTCTGTTTGATGTACTGATAATGTGACATACACTGTCATTTCTCCGTTTGATGTACTGATAATCTGACATACACTGTCATTTCTCTGTTTGATATACTGACATACACTGTCATTTCTCTGTTTGATATACTGATAATGTGACATACACTGTCATTTCTCTGTTTGATGTA